CATTCGCTGATGGCCGTAGACTTGGTAAGTTTGTACTTCCGACAAACAACGGCCGCCATGCGGTGTTTATTGAGTACTCGAAAACCACACATTTCTTGACTCCTTCACAGCGTACAGAAACACAAGAACACAAATTCGCGTTCGAGCCAAGAGGAGGTTCAGCAGTAACTGGCGTGCCTATGGCATGGCACCTCCAGCCACCACACCGTCACCCGAATCGACACAATTTTAGCGTCTCACTTTTTCAGGATAATCGATCTTGCATCTTGGCAGCGCCAGCTGTTCTCACTCTTACCCTGGTGGCCGTGTTCTGAACAAATTAACGTTAGCATACCGGCTGCCGAGGTCCGGGGCATTTCGCGAACTAGAAATGCATTGCACAAAATCGTGATTTTGCATTCAAAATGCATTGCTTATAATTCGTTTATAAAATTGCTGTTTCTTCCAGAGCCTGCCAACCTGTAGATTCATCCCGCCCGTGGTGCAGGGTACCGGCACGAGCCCAAAACACTGTACAAAATGGATTCATTGGTGCCCTCTGCAACCCACACTTCCGAACAGCCTCTATCCTATCTAAACAGCGTATTTGGTCGGTACACAGCTGGTCGACAAAATTGCGACGCATATGACGAGACCACGAGCGGAACATGCCTCACTCAACGCTGGTCTGAACAGCAGAATGCACACATGATTGCACACAAGTGCCTGATTTTCCGTTTTCATGTATGCAGGTTACTTGTTTGCATCGCAAGGTACATTACATATCTCGCACATGACACTGCCCGAAACAAAGGCCAAGAAGTTGGTCAATGTTCAAAACAGACGGCTGCAGCAACGATAATTAATACCAGGAGAGACCATTCATGCTGGACGAAAGATACGACGGCAAGTGCTCTGGAGGAAGAAAGGCGGGACCGTTTCAACGTTCGCGGATGCCACAAACAAGTTAGTACCCACTTCAGGGATGACGGCGATACGCATGCGCCGGTCGAAGGGGTCATGGTCTCAGGCTGGCCTGCGGACGAGTAGGTGTGGGAACGCAGCCAAACGTTCGCCCGTTCAAGGTGACGTCCCAGTGGGTGAGACGATCACGCGCAACCCACCGGAGTGTGACACTCGCATCCCATCCAACAGTCCCATAACCGTCTCCTGCTCGCTCGCAGAACCCAGCTGGGATCAGGATAACTCGCATGAACGAAAAACAAACGTCGTCGGGTGCTCCCACAGATTCCCAAGTACGTCAACAGTGATGAAAGAACATATAGAAGAAAACTAAGGTCTTAGCCTGTCGGCATCCAACCCGAGCCTCCATCACGACTCCACAGCACGGACCACAGGCCTCTCCACGCAGCACGCGTGCGCCGCCTCGCCGTTCCCCACAGGGCTGCAGCGCCGCGTCGGGCGCGGTCACTCGAGCTCCGACGGCAGACTCATCATGTGGTCGATGTACTTGAGCAGACCTCCCAGGCGGGCGCCCACCGTCTCCTGGTCGAACGCGGAGCAGTTGGTGACGATGCTGTGGAACGACTCGTCCAAGCGGCCGTCGCCCTTCAGCGTCCTCACATATGTCTCGCACCTGCCGGCGGTACCAGGGGCGCTCTGTCAGCCGCGGGAGCCAGACTTCCCGCACACACTCCAGCCGCGGGAGCCAGACGTACCGCACACACTCCGGCCGCGGGAGCCAGACGTACCGCACACACTCCAGCCGCGGGAGCCAGACGTACCGCACACATTCCAGTCGCGGGAGCCAAACGTACCCGCACACACTCCTGCCGCGGGAGCCAGACGTACTGCCCACACTCCAGTCGCGGCCCCAGCCAGACGTACCGCACACATTCCAGTCGCGGGAGCCAGATGTACCCGCACACACCCCTGCCGCAGGAGCCAGACGTACCGCACACATTCCAGTCGCGGGAGCCAGACGTACCGCACACACACCAGCCATGAGAGCCAGACGTACCGCACACACTCCAGCCGTGAGAGCCGGACGTACCGCACACACTCCAGCCGTGAGAGCCAGATGTACCTCACACACTCTAACCGCGGGAGCCAGACGTACCCACACACGCTTCAGCTGCGGGAGCCAGATGTAACCACAGACACTCCAGCCGCAGGAGGCAAACGCGCCTCACACACTTCCAGTCGCAGAGCCCTACGTACCCACCCACACTCAAGCCAGACCCTGGGCTGACGTTCCGTGAAGCTTTCATGCATCGTGTGCGGCAAGATCACAAGTGCCTTTGTTGATGGCACCTTTATGAAATAACCCACGTGGATCCAACCACAAATCAGACCAACTTTTTGCGATTAGAATGAGAGGTACAAATGCTGTGATAGTGCCATCTTGTGTAGCTCCATTGCAGGTCCAGCGCCCCAGCAGATCTGGCGAGCAGTGCGGCAGTCCGGACTGGACGGAACGGTGGCGTCCCCTGCGCACTCACGTGACCCTAGCCTCGGCCGGGTTGTGGCGCGCCGTCAGGATAAGCTGGTCGATCCAGTTGTTGACCATGTGCAGCGCCACCTCCTGGTCCGGCTCGCGACCCACGTCGATGTTGATGTCGACGTTCAGGCACTGTGCCACCAAGCTCTCGCAGGTGGCGTTGGCCGTCTCCCGGTCCCCTGCAGCAGAGAGGGGACCCCACTCACCGGTCTGGGAGAGTCGTGGTCGTCTAGCGAGCGCGACGCGTGGAACCGCCACGCACCCACAGAGACATATAATATACAGAGCACAGCATACATGTGCAGACTGGAAAGGCAGCATGCCATGTCAGCCATGTCAGAGATCAAGAGTCAAACTTCAGGTGTTTGGCTACTTCATCCCGTATATAGCCTTGAACTGCAGTGCAAACTTGCACAAGTCCAACTAGCAGTGAGATACAAAAGGTCAGTGTGCTTGGCTCACTTCACAAAGTTTCAGGTCTAACCCACCATCAGACATCTACACACTTTGAGAAGCATCCACCACTGTGACACCAATACATTGCCAGCTATGGGCCTATGCCACTGGGCATCTCCTGGGTGCAAACCAAACATTTCCTGTCCAAGCTTCAGGCTGCTGCCCATTCCCCAACATCTAGCATACAACACAGCTCCCCATCCATCCATAAGCAACAGCCTGGTCCTCATCAGTCAACAGCCACTCACTGGGGCTAAGGCTCTGCAGGCTCTCCTCATTCTGCAGGATGAGCAGCGTTTCTAGCAGCGCATCACGCTCCTGCTGCACACGCCGGGCATCACGCATCAGTGCCTCCACCTGGCGCTCCACCAACTGCAGGGTGCGCTTGACAGGGCAGCCAACAGAGGTCACTGCATCACCACTCCCTGCAGGGCACTCCTCGGTCTCCATGGGATCCGCTGGCCTCTGTTGGACAGGGCAGAGCTCAGTGGACAGAGGGAAGCTGGGTGAGGCAGGCAAGCATGCTATGACTACCACACATCTGCTGCTCTCTGCCTAGTGACCAGACACTCAAGAGATTGACTCCCTTTAGCTGGAAGAGGCAGGAGCTATGAACAGCTAGGCTAAACCACTCACCCAATCATGACCTACCAGGTTCTCTTTCCTTATTCAGAAATATTTTTAGGCTTGTGGTCTTGAAACACTTTGAGGGCCTTATTTTAATGCTGACCATGTTAGCATGGCTGAGGCATGACAGCAACCACTTTGACACCCCATTCACTGAATGCAGAACCACTATTTCAAGAAATTGTGATGTTGCAACAGAAATTTCAGGCAAATTCCATCTCAAATATTTTTTCACCTAAAAATTGATTGAACATTCAGCATTAACAACTGTCCTGGTCTGAGTGCAGTATAAGCAGGCATGAAGCCCAGTGCACCATGTCACCAGCCAGTGGGTGAATTTCCTGCAGACTGGGCCCCAGTCAATCCAGAACCCATCCCCTTGGCTATGGTACGGTCGGATAGCGAGCAAATGGTTTTATGGATCCCATCACACAGGGTCAGCCACGGACAACCACGAACAAGCTATCATAGCATACAGATACACGGAAACGTGATTAACCAGCCACCCAGAAACTCCTTCAGACAGCACACGCACTTACCTGGGGTCCACAAACGCACTGCAATTGCACGTTACTGTCGCGAAGGTCACGACTGTTGGGGACAGGCAGCTGCCTTCCCTTCCGCTTCTCCGAAGTCCAAACGCCGATCGTTAATCGACCAGACGCCCTCCGCCCACACCGCCCCTCCCGGCGGCTAGCCCACCCCAAACAACTGTGATAGCTGGGTGGTGGAGGCAATCACTCCAACTCCATACCGGAATACTCTGGAGCTGTGACGTCACGTTATACCCCGAGCAGCCCCGAAACATCGAGATGCACGTAATTGGCTCGCTGGCCTGCAATCATAATGCATCTTCCATTCGATTAGAAATATGACTCTACACAGCCATCGGCTTAATTTAGCTAGCGGTAATTAATCCTAGAAAGGTGAGCTGCACTTTTTGAGGATTGTCTCACACGCTCCCAGCTGAAAAACACTCTCTCGTCGACCATTTGTGAGCTCTTCTGGCTACACCCTTGCTCTCATTGGCTGAATTGGGCAACTGATGTCCTTACTCACGGTTTTGTACAGCCAATCACTTTGCTCAAGGTCGTTTGTCTTGTTTTGTTTTCACTCAAGGTTTTGCGCATCGTGTCGCCTATGAGGCCATAAGCTCAAGTTGCGTCAACCCGGAGTGGGGCTATCTGAGTTGCTCCCATTCGCGGGTATTCGTGCCACTTTGTAAGCTGATAGGCGTTTTGGGAGAGTGAAGTGCGCACTGACACTTGAATTTGGGCCTATCTCAGGGCCCCAACTGGGCGATATTCCCGCTTTACACTGTGTCGTGCTGTTGCGGACCTCCTACCATACCACGCGTGCTGCGCATGAGCCTCTAATAGTCAGCCACTGCGTAAAGTCGATTCGGGCCCTTTCACTAGGATTTGGATTCCTGTGTTTTCTCTTAATGGTCAAGTGCACTGTGAAACTGTAAGTGGCAATACAGAACATTTGTGCCTCGTGCTTGGTTGGAATGATTCACCAGATGACTCAAACTTAGACTAAAAAACATGTGTCTGCACATGTCCGGCAGTACCGCGACATTACGGCAATAGTACCAGCACCTGTGTATTGTAGTTCTGAGCTCTTGAGTGCTGTATACAGCTTCCACCATTTTTATCATACAGAGCTATTTTTTCAAAGAATTATGATTTTGCAAGGACAAATCTGCAGTCTGCAAACCATGGCAAACATGCTAGGATGTTTGAAAGAGGTAGAGAATGCTGCTCCAATAGCAAACTAGACTGCTCCATTGAGGAACATGTTGTTGAGATTTTTTACCCCTTTTAACATGATTTACCATTATATTTGATCATTTTCTGTAATATTCAGTTTGGTAGATCAGAACAAATTTTATTGATTCTGTAGTCTCATTAAACAATTTCTATCACACAATGTTAGTTGGTTGCACCAAGTTGGAAGTTGTGACCTACCTGTACACCAATATCTCATCAAAATGTGCTGTGGTTTATGGGCTGGGTGATTTCAGGGAAGCATGCTCTGTAAATATTTTCTTGGATTTTGTAAAAATATGGCATTATTTGTCATGGCCTGATTTTGGCACATGAGAACATGAGGTTCTGCACACTGATGCTGCAAAGACATTCAGTGTAGTGAATGGGTCTTTACATCCTAGCCCCAACTGACACTGACAAGTCAAAGGTTCCTGAATAGAGGAATAAGGGGCTTATAGTAGTTAGAAGGGGTCTGAATAGGGACTCATCCAGCTTAAGGAAGAGAGACACTCTAGCTAGTAAGTAGGGGAGTAACCTTTTGGTGTATGAGTAGGGGATGGATAGATACATTCCTCAAACACAGCACAGCATTTGGCATCAGATTGAAATAATATGAACCTGGCATTTCCTGCATCCCAGTCATGCTACTCTGTTTCCACAGTTTCTGCACTCAGATGCCCTAGGTCTGAGTGCATTGAGTTTGACACCACAAATTTCAGTGCATACAGACCTCATGTGTCATGGAATTATAATGTTTGATGCTAATTTCAGGTGAAAATAGTCCAAAATACCCTATTTTTTGATATCTGGAAATCATGGAATAAGATTTTATTAATCCTGAGTTGTATGTAGCATATAGGATGAATATTTGCAGACTGTCTCATGGCCAGGGAACACAATATGAACTTGCTGGGAGCAGCAGCCTTTGGCATGCTTTGTCTCGAGAGGTTTCCGGCCCATGCTGTTACAAGGTAGTGCCCTCTTCTTTCCTGACCACATGGTTGAGGTACCCAAAATACCTGTCAGATTAATATCTTTCGAGGCTGCACGGCCTTTATTTTTCTCAGGCTGGTGATATATGACACTGTCTGGTGATTTTATGTAATTGGGCACCATTGGTTCCCCTAGTCAATGTGCTGCATACATCTTGATAGCTCCATGACCTGAGGATCTCACAGTGACAGCAGTGTATGCTACTTCCCATACAGGTATGCATCATGACTGATTGGTGGTACTGTAGGTAACAGACCTTGAAGAATAGCTTGGAAGTCCAAAATTAAAGTAAGGCACTGCTTCAGAGGCTTCAATGCCGCTGTTACCACTATGACAAGGGCAATGTACATACCATAGTAATAAACAATGCTACAGAAATGGTATAGCTAATGAGTGGTGACTCCTGTGGTGTTTCAAATTTGAATGCACGTCAGAACAGCACATCTTTCTCTTTCTCCCAGCAAAAGTTTGATTGCAAGCATTTTTCTTGTTTTTTAAAATACCTTAGCATACCAACAGGAAAATACAATTTATTTCCATTTTGCCCATCCACTAGCATATCAAAATAAAATCACAGAATGCCTGTCTACAGGTTATCTGTTTCACTGCTGTTGAGTGGCGTGCTGATGAAAACATGATGAATGCTACAAAAGCCTATTTTGACTTGCAAGGATAATTCCTCAGCATTGCTGATGATGTACATTAAATAAGAAGGATACCAGATTAGTATCAAGAAAATGTTCTAGCACAAGTGTTCTAACATTCTTTTCTTTTTTACCTGATAGAACACTTTTTTTCTTTGCTATGAAGTTTAAATGGGACAGCCTCATGCTTCTAGTAATTTAGCTCCTGGCTAAAGGCTAGCCAAATCAGATGTTAAACCACCATATGTTGTATTTGGCAGAGCAAGGCACAACAGTTACCTTTGTATTGTATTAATGTCAGATGCTCTCTCCATAACAAAATAATCAGACAGCTTGTTATATAGCTCTGTTGTTTGTTGGACAAATTAAAATGCATGTAGCTTTAAAGCATTAAGCATGAAAGTCCAACTATATGTAAACTCAGTCTTAGATGAGCTTGCTTGATTGTGTTGTACTCAGTTTCCACAATGGCTCAAGCCTATTTGATTGTGTTCAATAAGTGTTCAATAAGTTTTAGAGCTTGCAAGGTTCCAAACTATGGTGTGTTTTTTGGAGAATATATTTGTTCACTGCCATGTTTGTATATGCCTGAGGTGTCCAGAATGTGCTAATCATGTGATGCAAGTTTGTAAATGTATTTTGATCTCTTGCCATGCTCTCTCTTTCTGTCTCCCCTTTTTACATTTATGCATCTTTTCATCTGCAGGTGGACATAATTTATCAGCTCTTAGGGTTCATCATTTGTGAGCCCCATGCTGTACATGGAGAGTTCTGCACCTCCATCCTTCTTTGCAGCCAAATGGATTGTCATCATCATTTCAATATTGGTAAGACACTGTGGGTATGCGCTGAATGTTATTTTGTGTTGTAGGCTCTTTGTTAGCTATTTTGACTGTCCGAAAACATAGCATCAATGGCTTCCTGATGAAAATCAATTATGCCACTAGTGTGTGATGTTTCAAGCAAAAGACTTTTATGACAGGTGTCTAAGAAAAGTGATTGTCATGTTAAGATTAATGATATCTGAGCTTTGGGTCATCCTAATCCATGACTGGAAATTATAATCTTTGTTATTTATCAGAGTTGACTGCGGTATTTGATAAGGCCATTTCTTAGGCAGTTTTTCATTTATTCTTCAGTAAGTTAATCCAATGAACTATTATCTCAGCAGCATCACAAACAGGGCCCCTTCTCAGCATAGCTGTTAAGTGGATCTAAATGCAAATTGAAGTAAATTTTGTTTGGCCTGTTAGCTAAATTGTATTTGTATTGTGTATGTATATTTGTGTCATTCGCATTTGATTCATCATCTCCATGGTAGTGTGAACTCCATCCTGATGGTGTGCCTGTGTCTGTGGGTAGTGCTGACTAAATGCTGTCTGTTCTGTGGGCCACACTGTATGCCATGCCCTTCATAATCTCCATGGTAGTGTGAACTCCATCCTGGTGGTGTGCCTGTGTCTGTGGGTAATACTGAATAAATGCTGTCTGTCCTGTGGGCCACACTGTATGCCATTCCCTTCATAATCTCCATGGTAGTGTGAACTCCATCTTGATGGTGTGCCCGTGGCTGTGGGTAATACTGAATACATGCTGTCTGTCCTGTGGGCCACACTGTGTACTGTTCCCAAGTAACATGATTGTGTTTCTCCTCTTGCAATGACCTGGCAGGCTCACCATTTGTGACTTAGCTTCTGAAATGGAAAAGTGTTATACTGTGTCCTGTGCCACCCCTCCCCCAACATTTGCCATTGCAGGGCAGTGTTCTGGGCGCACATGATAGGTTCGACGTTTTTTTTGGGGGGGGAGGGGGCGGAGGAGGCATACCAGCCACCTCCAGGGACATCACCAATGCATGGAGCTGGCCAAATGTTATCTTCTAGCCGGGCTGCTCTTGTGAGCAATTATCATGTATCCACCACCAGGGAGTGGGCAAGTGCGGGTGGCGGCCGAAGGGTGGCATGGCTGAGATGCCACAGTCAGTGTTTACTTTTCACAGCTGTGTGGTGTTGACTGTACACTTTCATGTTGTGAAAACCATAGCATTGAGGCTGAGCAAACTGCAGGGGGACAGTTGATGATGCCATCAATCATTCCAGCACTGTAAAGATGGTGATGTTGATGACAATGAGGTGGTTTTTGCCATGGCCATATGCTGGCCACACCCGCTGTACCCTCCCAGTAGATGTTGCCTATATGCTGAGTATACTCACCCTAGTGGTCTTTGCTGAACTCTGACTGTACCCTCACAGATGGTGTCATCCGCACCCCGCCCGTGTGGGGCAGGTGGTGTCTTCCGTATCCCGGCTGTACGTGCTGCCCCGTCCCCCTCCGCCTCGGGAGATGTCAGCGGCAGCCAGTCCGTGTTGGGCAGATGGTGTCGGCTGTCTCCTGGCTGTACGTGCTGCCCCGCCCCCCTCCGCCTCGGGAGATGTCAGCGGCAGCCGGTCCGTGTTGGGCAGATGGTGTCGGCCGTCTCCTGGCTGTACGTGCTGCCCCGTCCCCCTCCGCCTCGGGTGATGTCAGCGGCAGCCGGTCCGTGTTGGGCAGATGGTGTCGGCCGTCTCCTGGCTGTACGTGCTGCCCCGTCCCCCTCCGCCTCGGGAGATGTCAGCGGCAGCCGGTCCGTGTTGGGCAGATGGTGTCGGCCGTCTCCTGGCTGTACGTGCTGTACTACCAGCACAGTAGGCGACGCAGCTGGCTGGTCAGCGGGCTGGTGGCCGCCAGCCTCTCCGTCACGCTGCTGGTGCTCGTCATCATCCCCGTGGACGTGTACGCCATCAGCAGCCTCAAGACCAAGGAGGGCCAGTTTGAGCCTTGGGCGAGCACGAACGCCTCCCGCGCGCGCGTCGAGGACACCATCATGAACGGCTACTACGGTAGGTAGGGCGGCTATACGTGCAAGGCCCAGCGGCGACGCTTGAACGTCGGTCGGCCCACGGAGAGCTCGGGTCTCGGGTCGTGTCGCTGCCTGAACGCCGGTGGGCCCGGCGGAGCCTGCGGCCGGCCCGCGGTGAGCTCGTGTCTCGGGTCGTGCAACTGCCTGAACGTAATGTGACCGTTTTATGTGAGACACGTGCTGGCTTTGATTTGCGTTGCTCGGATGGCTGCCGATTTGCCGCGCTAAGCGAGCTGTTCTCGTTGTGTGTGATATCCACGTGCCACGGGCGTGTGATTGCTGTGCCAATAAGCGGCCTGTTTCTCTTTGCCGGGGGTGACTCCTGCCGATGTAACGGCATTTTGCTAGCTGGTTAGAGTGAGTGGTGTAATTGTGTTTTGAGACGGCGGGAGGCTTGGTCCATCTGGGTGACGTCTTCGGTTGTGTGTGAGAGAACAGATCAATGTTTCTGAAAGATGGTGGAGCATTAGAGCGTGGTCAGAAACATCAGTAATGGATGAATGTATGAGGGTGACATATCTTCTGCCGTCAATAATGTTGGATCGTGATGAACATAAGTTGCATTGGGTGCGACTGCATGCTTATGTGACGCCAAGTGTTCGCTAGGTACTATTAGTCGAGTTACGTGAAACCGTTGATGATTTCAAGGCCATTTGCCTGCAGCTTAGGTGAAGTAGAAGCTGTTTAATGCCTTCTTGCTTCCAGTGCTCTACTCTTTGGTATTCTTCGTGGTGTTCTTCCTGATGCCCTTCGCGTACTTCTTCTATCGGGAGCCGAGTGATCAGGAGACGTGAGTAACGATAAAAAGTAGGACCTGTGGAAGTGTCCTACTTCCTTTGTCATAAAAGTGCTCGCCCATCGTAAAACAGTTTTAACTGCTGTGGACATGAACTGTGCAACTTGCACGCTATTGGTGTTGACTTTACTTTCGATTCATGCTCTGCAAATATTTTGGTGTGGACCCCTTCACTCACTCGAGGGGCATCTAGGCTTCCCGCTAGCATGTGGCCAGACATGCTTGAGGAAGGATGTTGCAGAGTTATGACCCAGATAACCAGTGTCCAAACACGCGCAAGTTCAAGGGAGTGAAGTTGATGCGCAAGCAACACGATAGTTCCGTGGTACCTCGTAAGCAAGCTTGTACTTTTGAAACGCTGCTGATATGTCGTGAGGACTCAACCGTGACAGGCCGTTTGAAATCTATCGACACGGGGAGCAGGCATTCAGCTAGAATTCTCAGCAACAAAAAGGACGTATCAATGTTCGTTGATTTCCCGGTTGGTAACCGTGCAAGCGTGTAAGGGATACCAGTTGTTGGCCTCGGCGATAGCGCGCGCGGATGCCCGGCGCCTGGCGGACCCGCTAATGGGAGCCCCGCTATCGCTCGGCAGCGGCGCGCCGGAACCGACGGCCAAGCAGCGCGCTCGCACTGCCGTCAAGTACTCGCTGGCGTTCGTGCTGATGTTCACGCTGCTGGTGGGCCTGGGCCTGCTGGTGCCGTTTGCGCCGCCGCCGCCCACCAACTCCACCGAGTGGCAAAAGTTCCGCTTCATGGTGCACGAGCTGGAGACGGAGGGTAGGTGGCTTGGCTGGACATGGAGAGTTGTCTGAGGGACTGGGGTCAGCTCGCCCCAACGGTGTGTCACCGCCCTGACCGCTCAGCACGTAGCTAAGGGCAATGCTAAGCGCATTGCAAAATGTGTTACCTGAGGCGCCAGTCGGAGGCCTCCAAGGGAAGGCTTCCTCACAAACGGGTTGTGCAGTGCGTATTCTACACATTGCATCGCGTCACATGCGTCGTTTGGTGCTGCATATCGGCGTAAGTGGCGTAGCTTTTTGGAAAAAAACTTTGGAGCAGACCGCACGAATGAGCCTTATTGTCGTGGCGCCTCGTTCTAACTGTGAGTTGAGCACGTCTGGTCGACTGCGTCGCCGCCGCCTCGCTGTGTGCGTGTCTGATGCCGGCCGGCCCGGCAGCCGGCGAGGATGTGGTCTCGATTCTGCTCTACTCGCTGAGCCTGGTGGGCATGTGCGCCATGATCGGCTACACGGGCCTGGGCCTGTCGCTGTGGCCGATCGGCCTGCTGCGTGGCCGCGAGAGCGCCCAGGAGCAGCGCGAGGATGTGCGCCAGGAGCGCCGCCGCCTCCAGCTGCAGATCAACTCGCTGCGAGACCAGGTGAGCCGCTCCGATCACGTGGTCCTGCGGCGGCCACCGGCCCGGCCGTGTGACATGGTGAGCCATCCCGGTCACATGGCCCTGCGGCGGTCGCCGGCCGGGTCGCCCGCGGTCTGTTAATTGGACCAATGCCGAACTTGCGGTGAGTCTGGCCGTCCGTCGGTGACGATTGAGACGTGTAAGGATGTGTGCTGTACGATTAGAGAGTTGATCTGTCTTATGTTGTATCGCGGGTGTGACGACTCGCGAAGCACACCAGCATATGCTTGCCATCTTCATGTTCGATAGCTGTAGGCGATCCTTATAGTCGGCGACCAGTGGAAAGTCTTGCTATGTTGAGTACTTCCCTGGCACTGGCTTGCCATCTGCATGTTCGATGGCTGTAGGCGATCCTTATGGTTGGCGACCAGTGGAAAGTCTTGCTATGTTGAGTATTTCCCTGGCACTGGCTTGCCATCTGCATGTTCGATAGCTGTAGGCGATCCTTATGGTCGGCGACCAGTGGAAAGTCTTGCTATGTTGAGTACTTCCCTGGCACTGGCTTGCCATCTGCATGTTCGATAGCTGTAGGCGATCCTTATGGTCGGCGACCAGTGGAAAGTCTTGCTATGTTGAGTACTTTCCTGGCACTGGCTTGCCATCTTCATGTTCGATAGCTGTAGGCGATCCTGATGGTTGGCGACCAGTGGAAAGTCTCGCTATGTTGAGTACTTTCCTGGCACTGGCTTGCCATCTGCATGTTCGATAGCTGTAGGCGATCCTTATGGTCGGCGACCAGTGGAAAGTCTTGCTATGTTGAGTACTTCCCTGGCACTGTACTCGATCCACGTGATCACGTCTTAGGCTCTCCTCGTGAACTTTGGCCTGACGTCCGTTGCCACTTATCAGCTATCTTAGACCGAACCAGTGTCGTCCACCCCCTGTGTTACCCCTTTCTGTGGTCACTGCAGTCCCGTTCGGTCCTCTGTGTACTGTAGTTATGGACGTCAGCCTTCTCGTCGCTCCTGTGTGCGTGTGACTGGCACCGTTTCCCTGTCTGCCCCACCTTCTGGGTTCGCCGTTGCCAGCGTGAGCCCAGTGCCATCTGTCCGCCGGCAGGCCAACTACTCGACGTTCCCGTCGTGGCAGGCCGACCGTCTGGCCGGCCTCGAGCGCGAGGAGGCGGCGCTCGGCAGACGTGAGCTCGAACTGAATGAGGCCGTCGCCGCCTGGCTGCACAGGTGGGCACGGCTGGCCGGCGGCCGATAGGCGAGCGGGCGCCGCTGGGCGATGGGCGAGTGGGCGAGTGGGCGAGTGGGCGAATGTTTCGGAGGTAGAGTGTGGGCTCGCCTCTCGTGCCGGCCGGCCGGGCGATGCTGGCAGGTCTTTGCTGACTCAGTGTAGTGTGTCTTCCTTTTTCCTGGAGAGGTGAGACCTGTTTTTGGCTGGTAAATCGAGCTCATGCTAGCTTCGAGTTGAAACTTGCTGTACGCACGAATGCTGGACATGCAAGAGATGGATCGTGCAGCTGGAATCCATGTCGTTTCCATCCAGTTCAATCTAATTATCCAATTCATCGCACTGCATGTCGTGAAGAGCTGGACTCCAGGGCTGGCCTCGGCTGACCATTGATTGTTCGGTCGTGTTCTGTGTGTCGCCGGAGGCGCCTCAGCGGACGTCGCTAGGTTCCACGACACGTGCTCCGTGCGTGGCCATGCCGCATCACCGCTGCACCCGCGTTACCGCGGACCTGACCGGTGTTGTGCGTACTGTCGTCAGGTGCAGCAACTTCCTCCGGCCGTTCGAGCTGGTGCTGGGTGTCACGGTGGCTTCTGTCGGCGCTGTGACCTTCACCGCGCTGCTGCTCAGCAAGTGAGATGGGTGGCGACGGCGTCGTGACTGAACGTGTTACGACATCGTGTCCTGTCGATCCACACTGGCCGAGTGCCGTTTGCAGTCACTCAAGTGGAATTATTGAGGTTGATGTCTAACACAATGCATGTGCAGCTGTTCTGTCGGACGGTCCGTCGGCAGCTGCATCTAAATCAAGCTCGCATCTTGTCACACGGGCGCCCACACCCAAACCCTGTGCGGTAGCCTGCCTGGTGCTGTTCTGAATCCGGACTCCGGCCCCAGGTCCCAGGTTTGCTGCGGTCCCGCGTCGGCCTGCGCGTCTCAAAGGGAGGGTCCAGGCTGACCACTTCCGTCCCCGGCTAACCGTCCCATCCCCCTTCTCTGCCGCAGCATCGACAAGGCTCTACACTCCCTGGGTATGAAGTCGGGCTACATCTTGCCGGAGCGACAGTTGCCCAACCCGATGGACTGGTTGCTGCAGCAGACGGACCGCGTGTACCCGCTCGACTACATCCTCTACTTGCTACTCATCTTCACGCTGTTCGGCGCCACCGTCAGCTGCATCCAGGACATCGGCGTGCGCGCCTTCGCCGTCAAGGTGCGCCGTCGTCTGTCTGCCCCGCAGCTGTGCCGCGCCTCCTCTGACGCGTGGAGCACGCGTCAGGGCTGCTGGTGATGTGCTCGGCGGTGCCCGCTCGCCTGACGCCCGCGTCCGATCGCAGCTGTGCCGCGCCTCCTCTGACGCGTGGAGCACGCGTCAGGGCTGCTGGTGATGTGCTCGGCGGCGCCCGCTCGCCTGACGCCCGCATCCGTTCGCAGCTGTACGCGGTGCGGCCCGGCCGGACCCGGCCGCACGGTCTCATCCTGCTGGTGCTCAGCCTGGTGTACGTCCTGCTGGCGCTGAACGTCATGCTGCTCTCCATCGCGCCCCACTACACCATGTACGGCGACCAGCACTACCGGCTGCTGATCCCGCAGCCCGACAACACCGACACAGTCGAGGTACGGGTCGGACGTCAGCTGGGGCGCCGAGGGACCCGCGCGGCTGGGGAGGCGTCAGCGCCGCCCAGGATACCGAGGGACCCACGCGACTGGGGAGGCGTCGGCGCCGGCCGGGGTGCCGAGGGGCCCGCGCGTCTGGGGAGGCGTCGGCGCCGGCCGGGGTACCGAGGGACCCACGCGTCTGGGGAGGCGTCGGCGCCGGCCGGGGTACCGAGGGACCCACGCGACTGGAGAGGCGTCGGCGCCGGCCGGGGTAGAGAGGGACCCACGCGACTGGGGAGGCGTCGGCGCCGGCCGGGGTACCGAGGGACCCGCGCGTCTGGGGAGGCGTCGGCGCCGGCCGGGGTACCGAGGGACCCGCGCGTCTGGGGAGGCGAAGACTCCGGCCGGGGCGCCGAGGGACGCGCACGGCTGGGGGGGGGGGGGGGGGGGGGGGGCAACGCCATCCGGGATACCGAGGCACCCGTGCTCCTGGGGAGGCGGCAACGCCAGCCGTTGGTGCGGGGCTTAGCACCATATAGGATGGTGCCAGCTAGGAGGTAGTTAATAAACCACATGTCTGAATATATGGCATTGCAACACGCTCAGCAGGCCAGATGTGGCCGTGGTGTGAGCTGCAAGGCATGTTGTGTTTTGTCTTGTTGACTGGACCATTTCTGTGCGACCGGGTTTTGCGACGCCTACGCGATCTGGACAGCGTCATCGGCCTAGAGGGCGCCGCTGGGCTGGCAGAGGGCGCTTCCGGGCCGACATGGAGCGCTTCCGGGCTGGCAGAGGACGCCTCCGAGCTGGCAGAGGGCGCCTCCGGGCCGGCAGGGGGCGCCTCCGGTCCTTCAGGGAGCACCTCAGGGTTGGTAGAGGGCGCCTTCGGACCGACAGGGCGCGCCTCCGGTCTTAAAGGGGGCGCCGCCGTGCCCGGCTGACGCGGTGCCACCGGCCGGCCTGCCGCCAGGTGCTGTCCTGCTCCACGCGGGCGCCGGCCGGCGAGTGTGTGCTCAGCCGAATGGCGCTGCTGCTGCTGCGCTTCTCTTACAAGGCCTGGATATTCGGTGCTGTCTTCTACTGGGCCACCTGGCTCTTCCTCGTGGTGAGCGCGGACGTGGCGGACGTGAAGGGCGGACGTCAGCCGTCAGGAAGCTGCTGCCTTGTGTTACCATGGGGTTGAATCGGACGGCGCGAACAACTACTTGCTTGGATAAGAAACACAAGTCGCTGTGTTTTATACTTTTCTGTACCGCGCAGAAGTTTCAATCAGTATGACTAGGGTGGCGCGTAACGTCTGTAAAGTATTGTCTGCTCAGCGCTCTCGGGCGATGACAGCAGGGCATCGACATCGGCCGACAGCCTGCGCAGACGAGTGAGTGACCATGCCGTGCCCCTGTCTGACCGGCCACCATCCCGTGCAGACGAGTGGCTGACCGTACCGTGCCCTGTCTGACCGGCCACCATCCCGTGCAGACGAGTGGGTGACCGTGCCGTGCCCCTGTCTGACCGGCCACCATCCCGTGCAGACGAGTGGGTGACCGTGCCGTGCCCCTGTCTGACCGGCCACCATCCCGTGCAGACGAGTGGGTGACCGTACCGTGCCCTGTCTGACCGGCCACCATCCCGTGCAGACGAGTGGGTGACCGTACCGTGCCCTGTCTGACCGGCCACCATCCCGTGCAGACGAGTGGGTGACCGTACCGTGCCCTGTCTGACCGGCCACCATCCCGTGCAGACGAGTGGGTGACCGTACCGTGCCCTGTCTGACCAGCCACTCCCCCGATCCGTGCGTGACGTCCCTGTCGGCCGGCAGTCGGTGGTGGTCGGCTTCTTCTTGGCGCTGTGCCGCCGCCGGCCTCAGGAGGGCGCCCCTGCCCTCTGAGGAGGACCGCCTGCTGGACGCCGTCCGACGCCTGAGCGGGCAGCCGGCGGTGGTCGGCTGCGGGGCCGCCAGAGCCCGGCCGGCGCGCGCCGCCCCCAGGCGGCCAAGGGCGGCCGGTGATGCACTGGACAGATGGCTGCCGGGCGGGCAGCAGAGGAAGGACGCGGCGTTCTAGTCGGCCCAGGCAGCAGGCCGGGTCCGCCGGCAGCGGGCAGGATCGGTCCGCCTCCCGGTCTGCCGCTTGTGCTGTGACCGGGCTACCCCATAGGCTGTAAGGTAGTGGTGCGGCTTGTGCATGTTGGCTAGCGTGATTGGCGGCTTGTTTTGGATGGAGAATGCCAGTTGTTCTCTCGTCTTCAGCGGTAGCATGTCGCACCCGGGGTATGTCTGTAAGATCTCGGATTAATGTTTAGTGTCTGGGTTTTCTTTTCTCCGAACGAAGGTATTGCAGTTCCTTCTCTGTATTCCCTCGCAAAAGAAACACAATTCCGCCGTTGGAAAGACATTCACAAAGCCTATCGTGAAGTGTGATGGTGCGCGTACATTTCATTTATCGTCTAGTTAATTCCGGCGTCGTCGCGCTTTCAGTTGACACTGCTGTATGCTGCGGTAATGAGTTTAGGTCAGACGGAACCCACGTCCCATTGTACTGAGAAGGCGCTGCGCACTTCTTAGGTCGCGAGTGTTACCTTTAATCACACCCTTCGGTGGCCTAAGACAAGGCAGGCAACAAGCCTTGAGCCTCCATTTAGGCTGTTCAGATTTTCTCGCATCCTGGGTGACCGAACTGCTCTGCGACGGGCATGGCGAGAAATTGTTCCCTGGATTTTGTACGAACCAAGTGATATGCCAAGGTTCACAGGACAGATTGCATGGAGTTGGCTGATGTGATCAAGGCATGAGGTGGGTGAGCGTCGGTTGCCCAAAGATGGGCAGTGACTGCCTGACCGCTAGCTTCACAATGTACCATGCATGAATGAGTGCTGTGTCAGCTCATGGGCAGTGCATCTGACCTGAGTTGCCACTCGACGAAACAGCGAAATGTATATTGTGAGAAGTAGGTCGATTATTTATTCGCATTGTAATTGAGCTGAGCGATTGTCGTGGGTATTGTGAAGGAAGCTTAGTTGTTCAGGGCTTGGTGTTTATTCAGGAGTTGCTTTTGAGTTATGTTAAACTAATATACTCGCTAATCGCTGGCACACTTCCCACGTTTCTATGATATGTATGTTTTGATTGGCCTCAAGATGTATTTGAAGAGGATTTCCTATTGCAGAGGCATCCTCCGCCAATGCGGGTTTCGGTAAAACACGGATGATAAGTGGCAAAGTGGTGAAGGCGTGCAGAACACGCAGAAAAAGTCGCGGAAGCGTTCTAAAATATATCGTCCCTTGCTCAAAGACGTAATGCCGATCATTTCCACAAAGTATGCGTTTAGGACGCCTCGTGTGACCTGGTATGAGCGAGGCGGTAGCAGAACTAACAGTTGTCTGCTTTTATGGTGCAGACGATGCTAGTGCTCGCCAGTGGTCCCAGGGCGACCGACGCCAATGAGTGATTAATGTATTATAAAGTCCTCATACTAAGTTAACCCGTGCGGATCCAGTGGTGTACGGGCACGGGCGTGTTTACGCACAAACTTTGGATGGCCATTGGTGACAGAGGGCCGCATTGCACGCCTTTGTGGTCGCCTTGACCCAATCCGTCGGTTTAGCACACCGCCGGTGCACACCGTGCGCACCGCGTTCGCCGTTGGTTTCAACGAAGGCGACACCGACCGCTTTCCGGTAGAGTGCTGACGCCTGTGAACGGATCAGACATCTTTGAAGGACGTTAATGCGTGTTAGCCGGTACACTCATCCACACAGTGCGGCTTTTTACGTCCGTATGTAGTCTGGCTGCTGACGACCCGCACGGGTCGGCGGCTTTTGGCTCACATTTTTGCTGATACGGCTGACTTAGAGCTATTTTGATCAGTATTGATCATTTCTTGCCTGTGATATTAAAGAGAGAGGGAAAACTAGAAGGACAATGGTGAGGCCAACGTGGCAGCCCTCCACCAGCGAGCCCTACCACACGCAGGTTTTTGGTGCTTGTGTGGGCACTCTGGCCAGGCTCCCACCAGGGCGGCCGTGAGGCCGGCTCCCGTCGAACGGTCGCAGAGGCAGGTGTGAAGTTAGCAGCAGTTCAGTCTTCACACCCAGCATAAATCGACGACCCACCCGATCTTTACAAACTTGTGCCAAAGGAATCCTATAGTGCACTGATAGCGTACGCCAAGTTTTTGTAAGGTTCCGAACAGTTTGACCTCCAGAGGTCGTAAAGGGTCAGCCAATATGTGCCTACAAACTTGATGCATGTTGTACCCCATTCGTTCGGGGATTTTACGCAGATGCCAGAAAGGCCCTTAAAAATGGCCTAAACTAAACAGATCGAGACATTCCTGAAATATATATATATATATATATATATATATATATATATATATATATATATATATATATATATATGCTGCATATATAATGCATATATGACAATATATATAATATATAACGTATAAAATACGGCCATAATGCATATATATATATATATATATATAATCAAGGTTTTGAGGCGGAAAGAGTTAAGCACCTGAACTGGACTGCAGGTCACGCCAGGTCATGCTATTTATTTTGTTTAGGGGCGTTTAAGATGTAAAACCACTCAAATGAGGGGATTTTTCATTAAACTAAAGCGGACGCAAATCGGGTTCGGCACATTAACCTACCCTGCTCAACAATCATCACGTATTATACCTGAACACAAGGAATATCGATTTGGCACGCGGTGACGTCGAGAGGTTTAACTTTTTGATGCCCGTGAATAACCGAGAAATGAACCCTTCTCTGAGTTCTACATTTGTAGCGTTTTTAAAGAAAGCCAAGGTGATAGGAGTTTTTGCAAGTCGTTGGGTGGCACGTCAACGTCAGCGAGAATAATGCTGTGCGACAGGAACTGGTTGTTTCCAGGCATTTATGTGTATAACTCATGAACTAGGCCCCACGCGACCGAGCAATCGGCGCCATTCAACTAGGCATTACATTTGCTCTCTGGTAACATGTCACGATTGCCTGCGTGAGGTCATCACTTGATGTGATGTTACTGGCAGTCTTGCTCAGGTGCTTGTTGTTCCCTGAAACTTTGATTCAATTCGTGCGCACGTTCCAATAAAACAGGCGAATATCAGTTTCAGCACATTAGGTTACCCTGCAGATCGCAGCCATCAAACAACACTATCTTTAGATATACATTGTATAGATCTTGCGGGGATAACTTTCGATCTGTTGGGCCTAGGACTATTTAAAGAGGATTTCTGGAATATACGCAATGTTCCCGACCGGGTGGTTCACAACAGGGGTCGCGTTTGTTGTCACACATCGGTTGACCCTTTATGACATATGGAGGTCAAACCACTCGATGCCTTACAAAAAGTCTGTTTGTACGTTATCAGGGCACTTTGGGGTTTTTTTAGCACAATTTTCTTAAGACTCGAAGGAGTCATCGATTTTTGCTGAACATGAGCACCGAACCGGTGCCAACTTCACACACGCCGCACAGGGGGGTGGGGGGGGGGGGGGTGGCGGCGAGACAAAGCGTTACGGTGGGGTGCGGTGTGTTATGAGAGCACGCAATGAATCTGGCAGTGGCCATGGTAATGTACATGCACAATGCTAAGCCAAAGCTTCGTATTCAAATAGGCAGGGTGCGTATAAGACTGGAAATGCCTCGTCGCTGTTCAGGCCGTCTTTCAAAAGACATCGTTATAATTAATCTTTCAACGTCCTAAAACGTCCGATACACGGCACCATCCTGAAGGCTGCTCGAAACAGACGTCTTCACCGAGAGGGTTCGATAACCCGTGTCGAGCTTAGGGCTTAACAGCATCCCGTTAGATGATGCCAGTAGTTACTCAAAGCAACGACTATCAAATTATTTCCAAGCGTACCTTACCTGAAAACATAACTCGAATTGCATCTCAAGATGACTTGTGTCCATTAGCGTTTGGCTAAGGCTACGGATGTGCAACGAACTTGTTATCTTGAGGCCTACGTTGTCTTGTTCTGTTGCTATATCGACGTTTGTTGCACTACGAGCCGCATGGTCGTATGTTATTTTGCTGCTTGCCTGCCGCGCGCTGGAACTCACTCTGCCTGCGGCCTTCCTTTTGAAAGTAAATCTTAGCCGAAAGACTGTGGCTGAGATCCAACAAAAAACTGGTCGATGACGGTGACATTTCGCGAGAGCGAATCATTGACAGCTCTAAAAGATTGGCACGTGCATGTTGCCGATTTTTTGCTTGAAAAATAAACACCGTTTTCTGTCCTTCGTTCTCACGTCAAGACAGCATCAAGATTGCTCGGTTACGTCATCTTATCTCAGACCAAACCAGAATGAGTTTTAATCATCACCCCACCGCACACTACAATACAGCATATTCGTGACAGTCGTCTCGCGGGGAGTGCAGCCGACATCATCACCGCATCAGCATCGCTTATCTGAACCCCTGCTCTGCCCCACGCCCACCATGTGTCCAGCAGCCAACGCCGGTATGAAGCGGCACCTTGCCATGGCGACGGCCCCTTCGACCGAGTCGCCGGCGCCGCGCCTGGAGGTGCGCCGCGCGCGGCCTGAGGACCGCGCGCGCATCGATAGCCTCGAGTGGGAGCACAAGTGGACGCAGCAGGTTTACGGCTACACCAAGGTGACCGCGCAGATGGAGCACGCCGCGCTCAACGTGGTGGCCGAGGATGACGAAGGCAACGGTGCAGGGGTTCGCTGTTTACAACTGGCACCCGGACGAAGCGACAGTGCCGGACCGGCGCTGGCAGCCGTGGCTGCGCAGCGCGGCGCCGCTGCTCGACTCACGCCCCCCTCAGCCCCGCCACGTGCCTCTTCCAGACGCAGCTCGTGTGCGCCCAGCCGGCCGTGGGTGCCGTGCTCCGCGCCGTCCTCACCTGGCTGTTTTCGGTGCTGCCTGACCTGGATCGCGTGTTCCACGCCACGTGCTGCCACCAGAGCGAGCTGGGCTTCCTCGAAGAGGCGAACTTCCGCATCATCAGCGAGCGCGGCGCGCCGGTGCCGGTACTGGAGCTGGAGCGGCGCCGATACGTGCCGCGCCTGGCCTCGCGCCCTGCCCGTCTCGAGGACCACGACGATCTGCGCGAAATGTTCGCCGTCGACGAGCAGCGGCTGAAGGAGGCGTACGGCGAGTTCTTCCTGGCTGAAGTGATAGCGGACGAGCGGGACTCGTCCTTCTCGGCCGTAGTGGAGGTGGACAAGCTGGCGGTCGGCATCATGAGCGTCACGACCGAGGTCGACCTCGACATGCTCAACGACAACTTCGAGCTGGCGCCATTCCACGGCCTTCGGAAGAAAACCACAGATGACACGACCGGCTTGGCCAGCAGACTGTCTGACGAGGTGATGGGGGTACGGCCCTCCCGGCTGTCGCCAGTCACGGAGGAAAAGGCCGACGAAGAAGAAAGCAAAACGGACGCTTCGGATAGCAAGGACGGAGAGGCAGCGTCTACAACAGAGACAACGACGGATGCATCCAAAACAGCGGCTGTTGCGGATCCTTCCAAGACAAATAATGAAACAAATGCATCCAAATCCGGCTCCACAGTAGATGGTCTCAAAGGAGCAGATGCCGCAAAAGATACAGCGAGTGGTGAGGCAGATGGCTCATCGAAGTCAAAAGTGGACGTAGATGGTTCAAATGCAGGTGATTCAAATGCAGATGGGACAGTCAATTCATCAAATTTGGGGGCTTCAAAGTCAGATGGACCTGTGAATGCTCCAAGAGAAGATGGGGCAACCGGTGATACGAAGGCAGACAGTACAATGGCTGTGTCCCAACAAGAAAGCAAAGCAGATGAACAAACCGGTCCTCCGTACACCGCAGTGCCCCAAACTGACAGCTCAACTGCCTACATCCGAGCAAAAGGGCAAAGAGTGGTAACAATCCAGGGACGCCAAAACCAGCAGCGCGCCGGATGCGACTGCCGGCGCTGACGCTGATGCATCTCGCGCAGACAGCACCGCTGAACCCGAGGTTGGAGACTCGGCCGCGGACGTTGCCGCCGCCTCGGCCTCCGCAGCTGCCGTCGCCTCCGCCTCCGCCTCTGCCGCCTCTGCCGCCTCCGCCTCCGACTCCGACTCGGCCTCCGCCTCCGCCTCCACCTCTGTCTCCGCCTCCGCTCCCGCCACCGCCGCCGCCGCCGCCGCCGCCGCCGCCGCCGCCGCCGCCGCAGCAGTCGCAGCAGCAGCAGCTCGAGCACGGGGGCCGCGGGTGGTGCCGCTGCTGGAGCAGCTGTGGGGTCCAGAAGTGCTGGCTCCCGGCTTTCGGCGAGCTCGAGGAGGAGGAGGCGCCGATCCCAGACGACGAGGAGCCGGACGGCAGCCGGCCCGTGCTCGAGATGATCTGGGGCTACCCGGTGTCGGCGGACGGCCCGCGTCACGCGCAAGGTGAGCACCGTGCTGAGCGGCCTCTCCACCGAGCCGGTCACCGGGCCGCCGCCGCGGCCGCGCGCCGTGCCGCACTACCACGGCGCGCCCAACGCGGCCGCCATCAACCTGTTCTGCATCCAGGAGGAGCATGCCTGCCGCTCGCTGGACCTGCTTCCGGCGGTGCTGGCGCGCCTACCGGACGTCGACTATCTGGTGATGACGGTGCCGGCCGACGAGCCGGAAAACGCCGCTGACGCAGCTGTTCACGCGCGTGCCGTCACCGCGCCACCTCCACCTTCCCCCTGACAGTTGTACGTGTTCCACCGAGCGTCGCTCATCACGGACTTCGAGGTGGTGAGCGCGCGCAGCAACGAGCTGGGAGACATCCGCGCGCTGGTCAAACACACGGACGCCGCCGAGACGCTGATGCAGACAGTGCGCGGGCTGTTCATGGACAACGCCGCCGAACACACAGTGCTGGTGGTGCGTTGTGCGGACCAGGTGGTGGGTGTGATCGTGGTCCGGCACGAGGTCGAAATGGAGTACGTCCGCTCGCACTTTGAGGTGGAAGAGTACGTGACGTTCGAGCACCACGACCAGCGCGACGGCTTCGGCCACCTTTACCACTTCGCGCTGAACCCCATCTTTCAGCGGTACGCGGCCGTCATTCTGGGCGAGGTGATGCGGCTGACGACGTTCTCAGTGCTGCTGTACCCGGTGTTTCCGCCGGGCTCGACCGACACAGAGGGCCACAGCCTGACCTCGGCGCTGGAACAGCTGTGGCCAGTGGCCTGGCGCCGCAGATCCAGTACCCGCTGGTGCAGGGCACGCTCGGCGTCAACATCCCCAAGCCGCACATCCTGCAGCACGAGGAGCCGCGCACGCTGCAGCTGACCACGCGCGGGGCCGTGCTGCGCCAGCGCGCGCGCATCAACAGCAGGGTGGTGGTGGTGGGCGGCGGCGACGCAGGCCTGGCCGTACTGGAGAGGCTGGTGTTCTCGCGCGAGCTGCTCTTCACCAACCTGACGCTTGTCGAGCCGCACGGTTTCCAGGGCGACTCCGAGGCCGGAGCACTGGCGACCGACATGTGCACTTCCACCGAGAACTTCCAGCCGTATCGGCTGGCCACTATGTGGCTGCGCACCTGGGTCAACTTAGTGCGTGGCGTCATGCACACCATAGACAGGTGACAGAGGGAAGGGGACGGACAACAGGACTATTGTGTTGCGTCCTTTTTCAGATATGTGAAGATGACACAGCTGTTTGAATGTAGCCATGCAGGTGAAAAGACAACGTTCCAAGCTGCTTGATCGCCTGGTCAGAACATACCCCAAAGTTCCTTGTTTCGCGACCTGTTTGCTTCTGGCGTTACCTATTACATCAACGTCACGTCAACACCAACACCTGTCAGGCGTCAATGTCTGACGCCTCGGACCGTCGCCCCGTTCCGACCCCTCGGACCGCTGCCACCGTTCCGACTCCTCGGACCGTCGCCCCGTTCCGACCACTCGGCGGTCACAGTCCGGTGTCCGGCAGGAAGCGCAAGTGCATCCTGGTGTCGGGCGCCGCCGAGATCCCGTACGACTACCTGCTGCTGACGTGCGGCCAGCAGTTCCAGCTGCCGGCGCGGCTGGTGCCGCGGCCGCCGCGACCGTTCGCGGACCGGCCGCCGCTCTTCCCGCCTGCCCAGCTGCCCGACACGCCCGACAACGTGTTCCGCGTCAACTCGCCGTTTGACGCCGAGCGCGCGCTTGAATACGTGCGCGCGTATTGCCTCGACCGCGCCGGTGAGTGGGCGCGGCAGGTCCCCGCAGCGCTGCCGAGGTGCAGCTGGGAGGGGCGCTATGCTGTGGCGTTTCGACGTCGGAAGTTCCTCCCGATTCAGCTGCGCATACCGTCACTTTAAAAGGGATTAATAGTTATAATTTAAAGTATAACTGGGCCTGATTCACTTCTAGGTACTGCTGAATTGCCAGCATTGTCTGACTAGAGATGCTCTATCGATTACCTCCTCTAAGCTTCCCCAGCGGCCTCCCGGCAGGTCCGTGACTTGCAAACAGACCCTCTGTCCGCTGCTCCTGCCACCGTCACCCCACCGCAGAGAACGTGATCGTGTACGGCTGCTTTCTGGAGGCGCTGACCTGCCTGGAGACCCTGATCCAGCTGCCGGTGCCGCCGCACCGCCTGGTGCTGGTGCTGCCGCCGGACGCGCACGGCTCGCCGCCGCAGCTGACAGGGACGACCCCCAGGTGCTGGAGCCGGGCTCGCTGCCACAGCCTCACCTGACGCCAGGCCCAGCGGTGCTCGGCCCGGCTGGTAGCCGGCCTCGGGATGAGAACAGGCCCTCACTCAACACTCGACCAAGTTCAGGCACTGAGTTATCGGCAGCACGTGCTGTTCCGATGTAGCGCCCCCAGATATGCTGTTTCTGACACTTTTGTATATTTTTGGGTTTAACAACGTCGGCGGCTTTCTCAGCTATTGGGCTTGATACGGACATACGGTCTGTAATAAGTACAAAACGCAGATGTGAATACGCGTGGAATGTGGATTTTGTTGTGAAATGAACGCCTTGTTTGCAATTCCTCTCCATGTGCGTCAATTGGCTCACGGCTGTTCGCTATGTGGACTGATACACGGGAGGGGGAGTAATGCCCGAGCGAGTAGCACCTTCGGTTCCCATGTGAGGGGCCCAATTCGAATCCCAATTGCGCCATAGCCCTTGAGCGCTAATATGGTCACAGCAATCGCTGGGCCTTTATGAAAGGGGGCGTGACGACTTGCGTTACGTTCCCTTTAACACAGATTCAGAGGTTTGTTTGACCAACCCTTGGTGTAGGTGGACCGCGGCATCTTCCACAACCTCAAGTCGGCTGGGAACGGCATCCGCATCCTGGAGGGCTACACGCTCACCTATGGGACACCAAGTCCAACAACCGCATCTACAGGGTCCAGCTGACGAGCGAGGCCGCCGAGACTAAGGAACGCTACCTCTCCTGCTGCGGCCTCTTCGTGTACGACCACAAAGGCGTGGAGCTGGTGACGTTCAAGGCGCTCAACGACGCCTCACTGGTGTTCGACGGCAGGCTGGTGATTGATCATCAGTTCAGCACCAATGACGCCAGCATCAGAGCTGTCGGTACCATGACCAAGTACTCCAGGAGGTTAGTGTAAAATGTCCGCCTTGCTCTCGTGACTTGCTGCTCTCACTCTTTGTCTTCACAAGAAAGAGCTCCAAGTCTTGCCACAATGTCCCACTACCTTGTCGTCAGGTACTACGCAGACAGCTTCGACCACTTCGAGTACAACTCGCGTGACGTGGGCCACGCGCTTGGCACCCAGCTGCTGAAGGTCTTTGGCGAGACCACCAGCAGCTGACCACCAAGCTGGGCACCAAGGACCGGCGCCGCTCCTCAATCAGCGGACAGCCTCTGCCGCCCGATTCGAGCTGCGCTGATGACGCGGCGCGACTGCCCGGTGGCTGGCAGTACCTGCACATCAGCTCGCCCGGCCCTGTCTGTCGACCTGAGCCCGCCCTGGTGGTGCTGGCCACCGCCCCCCGTCTATAATCAGGTGGGGCTCGCTGGCTACCAGAGACCCCGTCCTATAAGCCAGGTGGGGCTCGCTGGACCAGGAGACCCCGTCTATAAGTCAGGTGGGGCTCGCTGGCTACCAGAGACCCCGTCTATAAGCCAGGTGGGGCTCACTGGCCACCAGAGACCCCGTCTATAAGTCAGGTGGGGCTCGCTGGCACCAGAGACCCCGTCTATACCAGGTGGGGCCACTGGCCACCGGACTCCGTCTATAAGTCAGGTGGGGCTCGCTGGCTACCAGAGACCCGTCTATAAGCAGGTGGGGGCTCGCTGGCTACCGGAGACCCCGTCTAAAAGCCAGGTGGGGCCTCACTGGCCACCGAGACTCCGTCTATACGTCAGGTGGGGCTCGCTGGCCACCGAAGACCCCGTCTTTAAGTCAGGTGGGGTTCACTGGCCACCGAAGACCCCGTCTATAAGTCAGGTGGGGCTCGCTGGCCACCGGAGACCCCGTCTATACGTCAGGTGGAGCTCGCTGGCCACCGGATACTCCGTCTATACGTCAGGTGGGGCTCACTAGCCACCGGAGACCCCGTCTATACGTCAAGTGGGGCTCACTGGCCACCAGAGACCCCGTCTATACATCAGGTGGGGCTCGCTGGCCACCGGAGACCCCGTCTATACGTCAGGTGGGGCTCGCTGGCCACCAGAGACCCCGTCCTACGTCAGGTGGGGCTCACTGGCCACCGGAGTGCCCCGTCTTCAAGGTCAGGTGGGGGGCTTACTGCCACCGGGAGACCCGTCCTAAGTCAGGTGGGCTCGCTGGCCACCGGAGACCCCTTCTTCAAGTCAGTTGGGGTTTACTGGCCACCGGAGACCGTCTTCAGTCAGTTGGGGGCTCACTGGCTACCGGCGACCCTGTCTTCAGGATACCTCCTCCCTCCCCCTAATGTTTTTGTTTTCTGGACTACGTTTTGTTAAGTAGCAGCCCTGTTGGCAACCCAGCCAACCCCGGATGCATAGTGAGCGCCGCCTTTAGCTGATGGGTCGTGGACGTATCCCGTTTCCCACCTGCGGCACCAAACATGACGCTCTGTGGGCTGTAAGTGTCCGCGCCCACTTGCCTTTTGTTTCTTATATGGATGTTTGCCCCACTCTTGGCATGCCTTCCTGGCCTCACTGCGAATTACACTCACAATTTTCGACTTCAGCACTAAAAGCATTGTGAGGTAAACAGGCATTGTCTGACAGCTTAGTCAATGGTAAGTTGATAAGTACAATACGCAGCAAAGGCTTCCCCACTCTAAAACACTTTTGGTGTTGCACTCTGCACCTGCGCCGGCATCATTGACCGCGGATACAGCATTACGTGATTTGCGGTTTCGCCAGGTTTTGGGTGGAGCATATATGCTGGTTTTGTATGTTCATATCCATCCCTATTGTGTATCTGTACCTGTGGTGGCACCTCTGTGTATGTATATCTGGGTATAACACACACGCCGCGCGCACAGATCAGCGTCATATGTTATGTGCGTGTGCTCCAGTGTATCCATCCGTTTCCATTGTCAGCCACCGGCTATATGCGACTTGAGGTGAGCCAGTGGCGGGTGTGCAAAAGATCACGTGCTACTCGCAGAATGCCATCGAGGCGGACAACATGAGTCGCCCTGTACGGCCTGCACGAGGTGTTGCTCAACAACATGGTGGCCAGGTCAGTCAATGCCGACCCAGATTGCACAGCGCCAGAGATAAGCCGCAAAGTGTTGTGTGCGCGGGAAGGAGGGGATGACCGTGATGACTGTGATGGACGGCATACCACAGCCTCCCGCAGGCGACCGGGGCATGAAGCCGGCTTGATTGCATTGGGTTCAATCGTGTGGATTTTTCGTCGCGGTTCGTTCGTGGTGGGGACTGCGCATCTTTTGTGTGGCGGACTTCTCGGCCAATTGCCTGCCTCAGTACGTCATAGGAATGTACCGCAGCAAAAAACACAGCACTACGTTTCGCGACTAACTCAGGCAGACGTGCCAGATCCCAGGTCTGGACATGGTGGTGGTAAGCTTAGCTGAGAAGCCACATTTCCTTCATTTGGACCCCTCGTGACCGTCCCCAGGTACATGGAGGGTCTGATTCCGGACCTGTACGACTACTTCCGCCAGCCGTGGGTGATGGTGGTGTTCCATGACCGGTTCGCCGTGCTGCTGAACGACATCCGCCAGGCGATGCTGCGCTGCCAGTGCAGGGACGGCAAGCTCACCCTTGAGGAGAAGGTCAGGACTCGGCGGCTGCGGGGACGTCATGACAGTATGGCTCGAGAGCCTCAGCAGACCCGAGGAGAGGGGGGGGGGGGCTCAGGTCTGGTGCGGAGCCTCAGGAGTAACCGGGGGGAGGGGCTGAGGTTTGGCGCAGAGCCTCAGTAGACCCGGGGAGGGGGGAGGGGGCGGGGGCTTCAGGTCTGGTGCGGAGCCTCAGGAGAACCGGGAGGGGGGGGGGGGGGAGGAAGTGGGCTCAGACCCGCATTCTTCTTTGCGGTTAGGACCGTAGCACACCGTAGATGCCTCCTGAAGTAAGCACAAAACCGTGGACGGACACGATTAGACAATTCAGCGAGAGCTCCATCGCCCATTGAGCAGATGTATCCAAAGATGTCGAATTTGCGATCTTCTTCGGCCTTCTTATGAGTTGATCGCCGAGTTTCCTTCACCCAATAGAATCCTGGCTGCCCCCATGATCTTAGGAGTCCCACACATAACTATCTCAAGCGCACCTCGAATACTGTCCGTTGCAACTGACCGCGCTCTGAAGCAGCGCGCTGAGCAGCGCTATCCTTCCAAACAGCTGTTACCAAAGGAAATCATGTTCCTTTCAGGAAGTGTGAATGTAATGGACGCTCCCCTGCATTACGTTCTCTGACATTGTTAATGTTTTGACATGCTACTTGACATTATCACCGGCAGGTGAATCCGGGTTGACAGTGACATCACCACCCGCGTACGGTGCCCCGTAGCTGACACTGGCAGCGAGCTAACTCCCGTCCTGGGCCGGCAGATCGTGGACGACATGTGCCGCTACAGCGAGCTGACCCAGGAGGAGCACATCAAGATCCTGGAGGACTTCCGCGCCGGCGGCGTCGACCAGCTGGTCGAGTCGTGGGTGCTGCAGTACCTGGCCAACAACCAGTACCACCTGCCCATGTACGCCCGTGAGGGCACCGCCGAGTCGCTCAAGATCAACAAGGAGAGCGTGCGGGACTCGGCCAACGCAGGCATGGCGAGCTCACGCGCGCAGCTGGCCAAGATGTCCGGCTAGGCGGCTTGTGCAAGGGCGTGGCGGCGAAGAGGGAAGGTGGGAGCCTCAAAAGTCGAGGTGTGGAAATCTTTGCGAAAGGTGGACGTCGGAAAACGAGGGTGCTTGGATTAAAATGGTGGGGCGTCTTGCAGCGAAATGAAACACTGAGAAAGCGCCGATCGCGAGTTCTCCGTGATGCGCTGAGTGGTGCAGAACGATGACATTTGTTCACCTCTATCTGAAGAAGTGAAGCGTTCCACGAAGAACGCGAAGATCTGCTTTGTCCATACATAGCAGTGGCGGATAATGATAATTGCTGCGAGCGGGGGGGGGTTGAGTTGAGCGATGCTAATGTGAGGACGGGGGGTGATAATCACACTAGTGCAAATACACCCGGCAGATTAGTGACTGGAAGCTTATCTTGATCTTCAGGTAATCTACGAAAGTAGGGGCCTTACAGAAATGCTTAATGCTGCTTACTGAAACGACATAGCAAGTGCGATCTGCCGCGGATGGCAGGGGGGCTGTTTACTGACTGCTGCATTCCCGGAGAAAATCATCTTGCAGGAACGCACCCACGCGTCATGGCGGGCACCGGGCATTGCCAATGAATGGTAGCATTTCTTATGGCATGAGCTGACTTTTTGCTAGTCATTTCGTAGGACTCCTCTACGATCCTTGGTATGCCAGTACAGTGGGCGTTTTCTCGACGGCGCGGGGAATCCATGCCGAGTTAATTGTGCCCTGAGGGGATGGCGATAGCAGAGTGGCAGTAACAACAGTCCACGCCGAGTGCGGCTGGGCTCCGTGATTGAGAACGGGCGTCGAAGCCAGCCGATGTGGTTGGAATATTGATAAGGCATGTGTTCCGCGTGCGTTAACGTGATTGTGATGACATAAAATGGGGCTCAATTTTGAAGTAGACGTCCTCGTAAGCCGTTGATCGACTTTAAAACTCGTTTTACGCTGTCCTTTCTCGGCAATGCTTCGACATCAATGCCGCTATTAAGGAACGGAACTATCTTGACCGGCGCACGTTGGATGTTATCACTTTATTTGGTGCTTTCACAAACCACTGAAAGCTTTATTATGTTGCAAAAGAAGAGATTCTGACCCGCTGTATCACGGGGCACCTGGCATCAAATCCAAACAACACCGACCAGCAGCGGCGCCTGTTGTTAGATCCAACCAAGCGCGATCACTTTCACTTCAGTGCCAACTAGAGGACCCTGCGCGCCAGTCGGGACCCCTGAGCCGACAAGTGCTCGTATGCTGGTCAGACACCACCATTCACGTAACGTCGGTTCCGTGCCGGTATTGGCCTAAGGGCACATTCCCCAAGCAGAGACAAAGCAAGAGTCAGTGATTTACTTTGTTCAAGGCTCCAGCGTCTGTCAGGGACCCCATAGCGCCTAACAGGGGGCCCTGTGCTGGCAAGGGCCCGAGTCGGCCAGAGAAAGTGTTCGAGGAGGCCCGAAGAGCCTAAAGGGTTCACCGGGACCGACGGTAAGGGCTGGATTAGAGGTCTTAAGGGCCTGAAATGCTGGTCGGGTCTTATTCAGGGTCTCCAGCCCGCAGGGCCTCAAATGACAGTTAGAGGGCCCTTTGAGCCGATCGCGGCGCGATCAGGGCTCACTGGGCCCTGAGTCGATATAGGCCTATATGGCTGTCAGGCACCGCCAGTACCGCACAGTCAGCTCCGTGTTGATATGGGCCTTGGGGCCCACTTCACTACCAGCTACAAAACCGGAGACAGCGATTCACACTGGTCGAGGCCCCTGTATCTGTCAGGGGCTCGCAGTGCCTAAAAGAGAGAGTCCTGTGTTCGCAAGGGGCCCCGAGCCGACCAACGGCAGTGTTTAATGGGGCCCAAAGAGAGGCCTGGCGGCCCAACGGAACTGACGGTGAAGGGATCGGTTGGAAGGCATAAGGGCCTGAAGGACTTGATATAGATCACATAAAGAATAGCGGCCCATAGGGTGTCAACCAAAAATATCAGCCCGAGGCCTCCTTGTACCGTTTGAGGAACCCATGTGGCAATGTGGATGCCTCGGTCGGCCAGAGACCACGAGCGCCGAGCAATTAGATCTCTGTCAGTCTAAACCCTGGGATCCATTTCCCAAGTAGAGACAAGGCTGGGGGCCACGATTTTCATTTATTTGGGTCTGTGAAACAGTGCTTGGGACTTCTGTGTCGGTCAGCGGCCCACAGTGCATAACAGGAGGTCATGTCTCTGTTTGTGGCCCCTTATCGGTCATGGTCTTCGTTTGAGGGGGTCCGAAGTGGGGCCTGGGGCCCTCGGCACCATAGATTAAGCGCGCGATTGGGCTCAGACTCGCCCCCCCCCTCACACGTGGTGTCGTGACCCAACATGTCAGTCTGAGGCATGGGTGTCGATTTTTGAAAATGATTGGGGGGGCTTTATTCGTGGAAGTCGTCAAAAGGGACAGGATCGAAAACTTTTCGGGTTTGGTGCCTAATGTTCTAGTAATGAAATATATATATATATATATATATATATATATATATATGTGTGTGTGTGTGTGTCTATATATGTATGTTTGTGTACTACGCTGACATATGTTTTTGAAGCACATGTGTGTAGCCACAGCATCATGCATAGAAGCCTCGCATATTGCATCTGCTTTTTAAAAAGGCAACTGTTTTGTGAAGCGGAAGAGATTCAGCTGCAGCCCTCCTGCGTACGGGAAAAGTTAAGTTGATGCATGATTTACCATTCTACGCTACGGATTGTTTTTGTATTTCATCATCTGTTCACAGGAATCGTCCAATTTCCACAATATATGTGGCTATCATAACCGATTTATACGCAGGTTCTCACCATGCCAAAATTTTATCCTTAAAGCATATGTATTTTAGTGAAGATCATTACTGACAAATTCATGTGAAATGCTGCTAATGTTCATTCCACGAATAAGCAAAAACATGGTTTTTAGCGTTTCTACAGATACAACTTGGCAGATGCCGTCTTGTTGGGGTCGCGTTTCTCCGCTCTCTTCAATACACTTGGCAGATACATTTGGCAGATGCCGTCTTGTTGGGATCGCGTTTCTCCGCTCTCTTCAATAACACGAAATGGCAGCCAGCTTTACGCCTGGGAAACACTCTTCCTAGCTGGTGTTCCTCTGAAGGGAAAGCAGCCCTCACCTCTTTTACTTCGAGCGTGTGAAGAATAAACACCCGTCATATCAATGTCATGCACAATGCAGGTTGGTTGTAACAACGTTGTAGCTGAGTTGACTTTTCCGTTACCACGGGATGATATTGATTTAGAGGGGGGACCTGCCCTTCTTAAAAGCCACGAGTCACCAAAAGATGCAATGCTCTTTGTACTTTAAGTCGGTAAACTGAAGGAAACACAACGATGGTATTCATTTCATAATGTTTCAGTGGAGTCTTTCTAACCCGATAACACTCGGAGGCTGTATCGGATTTTTTCTGGTTTGTACAGGGACATTCGTGAACGTATATTTTAGTTGGAAATGAAGTCTTAAATTTGCATTCACATGAACATGTTTTGGTCTCAGAATGCTCAGCTTTTTTGGAATCAAATAGGGGAGGAATTACATAACGCAGTTTTGGCCACTTGCGCTTGCAAGTTTTACAAAAGACCCCTTCACCCGGCGTTGTAGTCTCCAATGGCTGTGCACCTCGGTGCCGTGTATAAGGTGGCCAACGGGCGGAAGGAAACGACAACATTTCTGAACACCTTTAAACGCTTTAGGTTATCAGCTGGGGCACCTTCAAGGTGTTCCGGGAGTATGTTTCAATTGTGCAATTTTTAAACTATCAATATGAAGGGATTTTTTTTTTGCATTCACGGCACCGCGAACCGTGGTAAGACTTTGATGGTAGAACTAGACAAGTAAAGATAGAGTCGCTATTTGCTTGTTGCTGTCGCTGTGTATCTCTCCAAAGGATAAGCTCGAAACTGTTCAAGTCGAAGGTACGCCGCAGTCTCATTCCTCAACAGTGCGCATTGATTTCAGAAACTTTCGGCAGCATTATTTCGCGATGGCTGTTCTCGGGCGCCAGGCGCTCACCACCCGGTGTTAGCTGCCGTGACCAACGCCGCTCGGTCTCATGGAAACTGCAGCCCCAGTCATTGGTGTTCCTGCTCATAAGGTTGTGAGCACGCAGGTCCAAAAGTCCTTGATGCAATTTGTCTCACATGTTGATCCTGAACAAGGATGAAGGCCTCGTTTGTGTTGGCGTTTTTCATTTATGAGCTCACTGATCCGGCCAGTTGAAAACTTAAGAAATCCCTTTCCTTTTCCGGGCAAGGGACCCAGTGAGCTGACCAATAAGGGGCACATTACATTTCCTGGTCAGGGGCTTTAGGGCCATTTGGTTACAGCGTGGGGTGCCCGACGGCTATCATTTTGGTGACACAGGGGCGAGATCCCCTGGTCGATACAGAAATCCTAAGCGGACACATCATACATCGGTCGCCTCACTGACGTCGGAAGCCCCGTAATCTGGCCATTTGTTCCCAAATGGACGCTGGGGATCTCATTCATGTAAAATATTTCTAATCGTCGTAGGTGTTCAATAAATAGAATAGAGACTACAGTTCGGCGTGATGGGCCCCTGGCTGAAATGGGATGGAGAGCCCTCCGTTTGGTACCGGGGCCCCGCCTAACAAACGGCCTTCCATTGCCGCGTTGTGGAATCACATTGCTAACTCTCATACCCATTTTCACTGTCAAAGGGCCTCGACAAATGCGAGAGGCCCCTGGCTTTCGGAGTCCCCGTCCCTGTCCCTGTCCACAGATGCTGCCCTGGCCGACTCGAAGCCCCTTGCAAACATCGGGTCCTCCATCAGACACTGTAGATCTTTGACCAACAAAGAAGCCGGCTGTTCGCTGTTGGTAGTCTATGGCCAAAATAGTGACCCGCATTGTCCCAGTGCGTCCCCAATCGTCGCAAAAGGCTCTCTAACTGACATTTGATGGCCCAACCCTGCCTCCGTGCTCTCCAATCGGGCACTTCATCATCGGTCCCGAGGGACGCTTCGGCTCCTCTGCGGGCCCCTCGGACACTGTGCCAGAGCCGAATCTGAGCTCCTTGTCATTGCCGGACACTTGTTTGACACTGTGGTCCCCTGACTGACACAGGAGCCGCTCATTGACTCAAGGGCCCCGAACAATGTAAATCACGGAACTCATCCCCGTCTTTGCGTGGGAAATGGGCCTT